GAGATGCAAACACGCCATCAAATAGACCAACGAATCTAGTTTGGTTGTAAGAGATCTTCCACAACTTCTAGTACTATTTTTTTTCGTCTACACTCCCTCAAAGTACGGTGGATCCTGCGGGGAAATAGTAACTCCGATCGGAGTTTCACGGTTGCCTAGGAACTAGCAATCCCGCAAAACAAAATCACGGAGGGGAGGACTCATGATATCTATCAAAGTGGGGGGATAGGTAGCTGGCGTCGCATGCGCGCAGGGATTCCTCGGTCTAAATTTAAAAACTGGGTTACACTAGGCGCGAAGACGCGTGAATGGGTAGATATGTAGAGAGAGTACTGTACTTCTTGGATTTACTTTTCGCATGGCGAAAAAGAAATTCCTGCTATATTCAAACAAGAACATTGGGATGGCGGCAGTGCTGCAAGGCTGATTACTAGTAACTACGGCCAGATACAAGACAAGTTCGCTCCGTACGGTCAGGATATCAATCCATGGGCCAATGGCACTGGTTTCGGCATGCCATGCAGGGAATGGAATAGGAATTGCCGGCAAGGGCCCCCGGACGGTGCAGCCGTTGAAACCTTATTTCAGGCGGTTCTTTTGACAGCAAGTTCTCCCACAGAGGAGCGTTCCCCCGGATTCGTCACAGATATAGCTGGGCTGTCGGGGCCAATGGCATGAAAGAGTTAGTTGAATCCTGAATGATTCGATATGACCGCATTGGCATCTACTCCAACGCTGCCCCCCTGGTCCATTTTTGCTCCAACGTTGATACCTTGCGGCAAAACAAGGATGAATGCATGTAATGCAGCAGCTATTCTGGAATCTGATGTTGTGTGACACGAGCGGGCTCACCCCGTTTCCAATTGAATATCCGAGCAGAAGCTACTTCTTTATGAGCCCTGGCCGGGTAAAGATTGAATATTCGCTACGGCTTCCCATGCACCTGCCAGAGGGCCGGGGTGGCTGAAACTGGCTGTTGACGTTGCTTTGGTGTTCCTGGTAAGTGACCATGCTAGATTATTACCAGTATGACCTGGGTGCTTGAGTTGGTTGGGATAACTCCGCCATCATCGATGAGTCCTAAGCACTTAGTAGGTGATTTGACCCCTCACATATCCGCACCAAAAATATCGAGGGAAGTGACTGGGTTAAGCCTATCTATAAAACACATCTACAATTACGTCCGGCAGAGGGGCGCCCACTTCTTGAAGGGGAGCTTGAGGAAAGCGAGGTGCTTTTCAGAACTTGCCAAGTAGAGAATTTCGCGGAATAAGCGTCACAATTTACATTTCTGGGGGTCTCTGAGTACGAGACTCAATCTATAACCTTGCCACTATTATTAAAGTCGTGGCCAGGCCCACTCTTACCAGCTCCTATAAGATCCATAATGTCGCAGTCAGGGGATAACCAGGTGACTTGACACCCTCGCCCCCGCCCCTCCATCGATGTACCTTGATAGTTGAGAACATTAACTAATATAAAAGGCAGGATATACCGAAAATACCAGCATGTGACTGGTGTAGAGAGAAGAAAATCCGCTGCGGCAGGGAGAAGCCGCAGTGTAGAAATTGTATGTCGCGGAGAATTCAATGTGTTTACTCTGACCGTCCGAAACGAGAAAATGAAAACACGAGAACGTCAGTACAGGCTGCCTTGAAGAACTGGATGGCACCCAACTAACCCAAATGTTTGCGGTGTACAGCGCACATCTCTTTGACGAGGTACATGCCCGTCTTGACCGCATGGAGACCACCATGGCCCGCATAGCTGCCGCTCTAGAAATCAAGCATGAGCCAGCTGCGCCGCGGCGCACTCTGCACGATCCCGAGGGAACTCCAGAACCCAGAAAGCAACACTCATATCGCGAATCTCTGGAAGGGTCCGAGGCGAAGTCGTCACCAGGAGATTCCCATCTGCACATTGGAGAAGTGGAATCGGGCCTACCACGGGATCGCTCGGGTATGCATCAGCAGACTGCAATGGGCCGTCAGTTTGTGTCAGACGTTGAAGGCAACGCGTACTATTACGGTGGGGCATCGCTCCTCGCTATTTCCAATGAGGCCGCACAGAGCGCGCAGACTGCGGCGAAATCACCCTCGCCTGGTGGTCCGTCAATCCAAGTCTCGGACGTGTCCGAGGCCCAGGAGAAGGTGGGAAAGTTGCTCGACCCAGACGCATACGTGGCCATAGTGCAGCCGGTGGATAAAGGAAAGGGCTCGAAGTTCTGGATACCTCCCAAGGAACCATGTATGATATTCATCGAAGATTACTTCAATGGCCCAGCATGGATCTTTCCCCTGTTCGACAAGGAAAGGTTTGTGCGCCAGGTGGAGGATATGTATGCGAACTTGGATGCAGAAGTCGATGTAGGCTGGTTGATCTGCTACCTCCAGGTCATTGTGTTTGGAATCTATGGGCGCTTGAACGATAAGGATGAAGTGATGCGGGAATATTTACAGCAGACGGAGCGGATGAAGATATTGCAAAAAGCGTCACAGGTTGTCTGGGATTGTCTCGACGACACAAGTGTCCTATTGAAGCCGAGGCTTCTAAACATACAAGCTCTCATGACGATGGTGAGTCGGTCGGCGCCGTTGTCTATTTCGAATATCTGATTGATATTTTCGCAGGCTGCGGTCGCCAACGAAATATCCCGTCCCGGGCTTTGCTGGATGCTGGTCTGCAACGCATGCTCTTTGGCTAAAGCCATGGGGCTGCACCGGAACTACACCCCCAACGACCTCACCGCCGGGGAGATTTCCGAGCGAAACTACGTCTTCTGGACCTTATATATCATGGACAAGTCCTTGTCCTTAACATTTGGACGACCAAGTTCCTTTTCTGACTACGATATCGACAAAGTGCCCCCGGCATATGACGCGGCAAATCCTTTGTGGGATTTATATATCTCCTGGATCGAGGCTGCACAAATTCAAAGCGAGATCCATGTCCGCCTATATAGTGCCCAAGCGGCGAAGATATCGCGCGAGGAGAGACAGAAGAATGTGGTAGATTTGGATAGGAGGTTGGGCGAGTGGTGGACGAAATACGGAGTGTTATTGGGAAGGAGATATAGGGAGGAACATTTTGAGAGGGGTTATATTATGACGGAATTGGTGTTTTGTTATCATAATACTATGATTATGATACATCGAGTCAATACAGGAAAACCCGCGGAGGGTGGGGATGGTCAAAGGGTGCCAGATGGCCAGGGTTGGAGCACTCAGGAAGGAGTGATAAGAGGAAGTGTTATTGAGAGCGAGATGGTTTGTCTGGAGCATGCGCGGAGGGGAATAAATCTCGTCCGGGACACAATCTCGCAAAAGACAGCTCTCGCCGGGAGTTCCCTAATGATGTGGTACGTATGCATACGTCCATGTCCCGCCCTTTATTCTCGCCAAATATATCCTTTAAATTACCTCAATAAACGTACCGCACTAACCCGATTCGTCCGCAAACGGAACAACAGGCTCTTCTCATATTACCCATTTACTGCGTTCTTTATTCTGTTTTCGAATATCATCCGGTATCCACACCTCGCAACTAGCAAAGACGACTATAAGCTGCTCAAGTTTGTGGTTGATTTCTTGGAGAGTCACAAATATGGCCATGCTGGTGCCGCAAAATTATTCCCCGTTTCGCAAAGCTTCCTGCAAATTGCAGCGCGCTTTGTAGACCCAGCTCCGGAGGCGATCACACAATCAACCCCGGATCCAGTGGAGCCAACATTAACGGCGAAGCATCTTGGGAAGAGGAAGCTTGATGAGACTTCACACCAACCCATGGCTGATGATGAGTTGCGAGTGGGCATGGCACCACTCCCATCAGAGACCCTTTTAATGCAATACCCACAGCAGGAGCATGCGCAGCTGGACCTGACACACGCAAGCTTCATCACCTGGCCTACTACCGCAGGAACACACTACCAGACCCAGGAACGCTTTAATAATAATGATAGTAACAATATTCCACAAATCATCACAACACAAGCCCCACCAATGACCACTGCGCCATATGCTGCAGCTTCGAATGCTGCAGCAGGATACGATTATATGGTCTCAGGGGCAGTTATAGACGATACATCGGGGTGGCCACAGCAAAGTGGAAATGCGGCCGAGTTTAGTTGTTTCACGAATACCTTGGGAGGGGGAGCCCCGCTAGGGACATATGAGGCGGAGTTTCAGGATAGAGTTGCGATGGCGGCGGGGGAGGGGCCGTTGGGGTTCGATTGGTTTAGGTGGGAGAGATGGTGGGAAGAAAGTGGGGTTGATGGGGGCATAGGAATACAAGAGGACGGGGAGATGTGGGCGGGGGGTGAGGAGGAGTAGACCACGGAATACCTGGCTGTAATGGATCATGGAAAGCTGTTAGTTATTTGCCCCGAACACTATTTTAATATAGCGTTGTCAGTTCAAATTCTTTACCTTATGGAGCTCCCTCCCTCCCTCCCCATATAGCTTTTTTTTTTTTTTCTTTTTTTTTTTCTGCTACTGAGGGGACTTTACTTCCATATAACGGTATTTATTTACTACCTCCTCCTTCTCCTTCTTCTTCTTCATCTTCTCCTTCTTCTCCCGTATCATCTCTCTATCACTCGACTTTCTAACCTTTCTACTTCCTAGCGGGATTTTTCTTTACCATTTATCGTTGCTTTGTTGGGCTGGTATGGCGATTTCTGGGAATGGCTTTATGGGATACGATATTTATGGATATAGATGGGTGTTTCTTGATTTGGCTCTTATCATGAGAATTGTATGGATTTTATGGAGGCTTAACTGGCTGTGTTTCGGATGGGGTATGGTCCGTTCATGACATTTCGTTATATTCATGTAGATAGGTATACTGGTAATTCTGTTTTGGCATAGCTGCATGGAGGTATGTAGGTACATCAAGGTTATTAAGAGAGGGAAGCTCAGGAACGCAAGACGAGCGAGATATTAGAAACTATTCATTTGATGAATGAATGGAATGGGACCAAAAAAAAAAAATGCAAAAAAATATGCTCCCTGTGAGGCTCGAACTCACGACCTTTGGATATCACAACCTGAGGATGTGTCATAAAGGAATTATGAGACCAACGCTCTACCAACTGAGCCAAGGAAGCTGAATTCATATCTAATGCAGTCTATGTTCAATAAACAGTAGTCTATACTATCGTTTCTCAGACTTATCTGGTTGGTGTAAAATTAACGAATAAATTCTTATACATTGCGATCTGAACAGACACAACTAGAATATGAACAGAACTGGATCATAGGTGTTCTCTCTGTCCATATAACCCATTTTTCAAGGCCATCTTTCTATTAGGTATATTATCCGACATGATGGTAACAATACACATCTCGCTCCATTCAGGGTAAACGAAACATTATTGAATTACCATTTTACAGTATACTAATTTACGGTGTAGTTTGCCACTGTCTCTTTACTTTTTTTATATATTCTGGTAATTTCTAGTATATCTGGGCATAGCAAGTTTTTAGGCAGCTAGAAACTGCGTTACTATGCGTTGTTTCTGATAAATCAAAGAACTTTTCTATAAGCGAATGGGTATCCGAAAGAAAACATAAGGGAGAAATACCGGCTATATATACCCCCAAAAATGCAGGTTTGTCCTCATTATCGGACTCAACGCTGAGATGTAAAATGTTAGTATCGTCACACATAACCCCAAACGCCTCCTACACCTTTGTGCACCTCCACCACCTCCCCGCATTCCTCCACCTTCCCATGAACCCTTCCGCAACGACAGGGATCTTCACAGCTCCATCCTTCTCCCCCGCACAAATTGTACTCATTTCTTCCTCCTTCTTAATCACTGCCCCTACCAACCTCGCTCTCAGCACCCACATCATTCCCGACGCCATCAAAAACATGATCCCACTCCACACCTGCGGATATATATATGCAGCGCCCATAAACCCCTCCTTCGCACGAACATTCACCAACTCTGGTCTCCTCAGCGCCAAGGCAACCACCTCACTAAACGTCGTCGGCAGCAACGTCGACAACCATACCACACTCAACGCACTCGGCAGCTCCTTCAACCCCATAATTTCTGTCGTCACAGGACTAATCGTCGTCCAGAACGTCCCGCACACGGCGCCGTTGAGTAGCGCAAACACGACACATAACCCAAATCCGGCTTCAGCGCTGGGCACCCACAACGCGAAAACGGTGATTGCGGAGAGGAGGGTCATCAACGCGGAGATGTTGATGCGGCCGTAGATGTCGCTCAGGAGTCCAATGCATGGTCTACCAAAGGTCATTCCTACGGAGAGCATAGCTGCCGCGATGGACCCCTGGGAGGGCGTAAGTCCCATTGAGCGGGAATAGTCTGGCAATGAGAAGAGAATGACCATGTATCCGAGTAGGGAGAAGAAACCCCATAGTAAAACGAGAGCAAAGTTTGGTACACGCTTAATGAGGCCAATATCGAACGACCGGTTGGTGGGATTGATGTGTAGGTTCCGATCACGGATCAGCCAGGTGGCGAGGAGGTTGATGACTGTGACGACAATAGCAGTGATGCGGAAAGACCATGCGACGTCCAAGGTGTCGATTACCTTATTCAATCCAATGGAGAAACAAAGTCCACCGACACCGGATCCAGCAGTCGCGATACCGTTGGCGACGGAGCGTTTTGCCAAGAACCATTGGGAGATGGTGCCGACGGAGGAGGTGAAGAGAAAGCCGATACCGAGGCCGGAAAGGACACCCTGGGTGAGGAAGAGTCCAGGGAGAGAGGTCACTGCCCAAGAGGATCCAAGGAGGGAGGATAATTGGAAGACGATTCCTAGGAGCATGATGTGTTGGGTTGTATAGCCCCGACGGTAGAGGAATGCCACAGCAGGGCCGACGGTCATGGAGGTGGAGACAGAGAGTCCGCCAATGAAGGCATAGTGGTAGGGAGTGGCCGAAGGGTGGGGATTGTGGGAGAGGTAGTAGGCGAGGTAGATTGCGTAAGCCTGAAGGGAGGGTCAGTTTCTCTGAAAAGATGGAAAGTGGGTGGGCGGTATGGGGACATGAAGAGAGAAGAATTGAGGGTGGTAATTTACGCTATTCAATCCCCATGTGCACGCATTCACCATAAACATGCATGCCACACAAACCCATCCATACCCCCCATCTGGCGGTGGAGGTGGTCCCGGCGGTGTGCCCCCTTCAGAAACCACACTGCTCTTTTCTATATCGCCAACTACCCATATCTCATCGTCACGGTCATATTTACTTTTAATTTCTCTCGACCGGTCGTCATTCACTCTTACCCCATCTTGCAATTGAATCTGAGTGTTGAAGGTCCCATTTAGGGACCCAGGCATTGCTAGGTCGGAAATTGGGAGTGCTGATGTTGTTTCCGAGCTCATTTTTTGAAAAACTGTATCCTCCTCTCCCCTCAGGACTTTCCTCTCTGGCACCTCTATTGTTATATTCCTTTTTCTGGGGAAAATTCACTCAGGAATGTAAGCGTCACCTCAAAGGAGTCTCAACCTCGTGTGACTCACTGTCTGATACTCAAAAGAAATTTGAGGGAATTGTAGAGTTTTATGTCTATATATCCTTACACCCCCTTCCTTCCTTGTACATATCTCTGCTGACTAGGTAGATTCGGCTCGGCCAAGGTGCAACGTAAGTAGTCTAGTAAATAATATCCCCACATTCCAATAATATTCTGTAGGCTCAATTGGGAACTCAATGGACCGGAAATCTGGACAAAGGAAGCTGGTGCTAAGTAAGGGTACTGTTATCAGTTTCGAGCAGGGAAATAACTTTACAAAATATTTAGCCACATCATCGATGAGAGGAAAATCTGGGAAAAAATCCTGAGAGATAAGCGTCAGATTTCAATTGAGCAAGGAGCTGCGAGATGCGTATATGATTGCTGTGCCTTCTATTAATCCGAGTCCGGAATTCTGCTGTTTCTGTACGTTTAGTTTTAGTTCCAAAGTCAAGTCTCACCGATGCTATTCCACCGCCTGGTTTCCTATTCCAACTGCAGTCCCCAACGTCTCAGGTCCGCTAGGGTATCAAGAACAAGCGGCAGCTGAGATGAAAAAGAGAAAAAAAAAGTAAAGAAGTTTTATATGCCAGCAATAGAGGCGATTCGGTCATTGCCATGAGTATTTGATTACCTAAATTGTTTAAAAAGTTGTAGATTATTTCATGACTGCTCTTCTGTAGTTAATTGAATCCAGTGATTTTGTCACCAGACTAAATTGCGTTGAGCTTTAGCATGGCATCTCGCGCAATTCCTCGCATCTTGAAAGGTGACCTTCGCCGATCTGGAATGTTTTTTCTGTTTTTGTGCATAGGTCCCGGCGCTACGGAGTAGGGCATGCCGGAATGCAAGTTGTGCGAGACGAGACGCAGCAGGAGATGCACATGAAAGGACAAAAGGATTATATAGCAATATTAACTCCGATACCGGATAATATGACGTTTACATCGTCAAACGTCAAGCGTCTTGCCCCAATCGATGCTGTAAAATTGTCAAGGAATTGCAGGCCCAGTGTGGATGTTTTCAGTATCCAGAGCACATGACTGAGGACAATATCCATCGAGAGCTTGAAACCTGCTTCGTTGTGTGGATATACGGCGTTGTTGGCTGACTTGCTGGGTTCCTGCTCTTTTTCCGTTTGACGCCTCACGTTTATGGATTGACATTCGATCCGATCCCTGTCTCTGATGTTGGAATTCCGTCAGGGGCCCACGTGTTGCGCATATGGTCGCGATTCCTAAACAGTGGGCCAGGGTAGGGGCCAGGGATGGCAATCCTCACAACCTACTGTAATTTCACGCATGTAGGGAATGTTCTCAGTACGTATGTAGGTACCTACCGCCCGGTAGAGGCATCGAATTAAAATCCTCCATTTACATATGGGAATACATACATACATACAGTATGTAGGTATATAATTTTCGTAGGTATGTAGGTACCGGTCGGTACCTTATACTTGGATCAGGCAGGACCACGCAACTGTGAATGTACGCGCGAATTTAATACCATTTGGGTGAAGGGTTTCAATGACGAAGCTCTCCGTTAGCGTCATCGTCCTCGGAGGTCTTTCCACCGCACTTTCATCGGAGGAATCCCCACTCTCCTGCAATCGGAGGAATCCCCACTCTCCCGCAATCGGACAGTACTGTACCGTATCTCTTCCACGTTTTTAACAAAGGCCAGGCCTGATGCGTGAAGGGATCCCAGGCCTCGCTAACGTTCGCTGTAGGCTTTCCGCATCCATCCCGGGATCGTGCTTCCACCTGTCAGTAACAGAGTATGTATATATATATAAAAGAAAAAAAACCTGTCAGTACCTAACACATTATCCCCTTACACTTTCCCCCAGAGTTGGATCCTAGATCCTGGACATACTAAACGTCCTCAAATTTCTCGAGTATGGAATGGCATGCCGGGCTTGATTCTCGCGGGTCACCAAGATCCGCCCCCGATAGTTATGCTAGAACGCAGATAACGATTTAAATTCCACACTCTCTCCTTGGAAGTCTTGCACCCTTCACCATTACCCCACATGGCGGAAACGATGAAGTTCCTCCTCACCGCCGGTTTTGTTTTTGTGGCTCTTACAGGCCTGGCAGCTTCTGCACCATTGCAATGCTACAATTTTAATAATGTGCGTATTGGCGGCGGTGGTGGATTCGTTCCGGGTATTGTATTCAACCCGGGAATGAAGGGATTGGCATATGCAAGGACGGATATCGGTGGTGCATATAGGTTGAGGACAGATGGAAGCCACCAGTGGGACCCATTGTTAGATGCGGTCAATGGGACCAATTGGGGTGATTGGTATATTGATTCCATTGCGACGGATCCGGTCGAGGTGAGCAGGGTGTACCTGTTTGCCGGTGCGTATACCAACAGCTGGTAAGTATTAATCTGTCACGACAGTCAATCTTTGATACCCGGATGCTCAGATTTACCCTAATATAGGGACCCCAACAATGCCTCCATCCTCCGCTCTACCGACTATGGACGTACCTTTAGCAAGACCAAGCTCCCGTTCAAGACTGGTGGTAACATGCCTGGCCGCGGTATGGGTGAGCGTCTCGCCATAGACCCCAACATGAACCGTGTTCTCTACCTCG